CGGTGGCCGGTGGTGGTGGTCGGCGGCCGGTGGCCGGCGACCGTCATACATCTCGGAATCATTTAATTTTTTTTTTTGTTTCCTATGTAAAACCAATCAAGGAATCCAAATCCGAAGTTATTTTGGCCTAAATCGGCTTAAATCGCCCTAGATCTAAGTTTTTCTCCGACGGTTCTCGGTGATTTTCCGGCGATGTTTCACCGTTTCCGGCGACGACACTACCCAGAAAAGATTCAAGTCGTCAAGTGCTTTCAAACCCTTCAAGTCTCAACCCAAACCGAGCTTCCGTTCGCCGGAAATCGGAAAAACTCCATGGCGGTAAAGGAGAAGGAAAACGATGAAGAAAAACTAAGAAAATATGGAGAAACGGACCGACGGTGATGAAGCGGTGGCCACGGGGCGGTGGTCGATGGTCGACGGCGAGCAAGGAGGCAAATCGGAGTGGAAGATAGGCAACAATGGTGTTAGGGTCGGCCATGGGAGGAGGAAAAAGAAGAAGAAGAAGAAACCCTAGCAAAAATTGCAGTCCAATCCCATATTTTCTAAAGTTTTCGAATTCCGCCCAAACTTTTATTTCGTTCTAAAAGACCCTAACTGAAATAACAGATTTTTCCAGAACTTTTAATTTTATCACCTTACCCCAATTCATTCATTTTTTTTAAATTTTCGTTCGTTATAGCATGAGTTCATATGGATTAGCAAAAACAGCAGACGTTGGCGGGAATGGCTATTTGCAGATAGAAGGGTATGGTAATTTTCACAATTGACACAAAAAAGTATATTTTGGGAATTGCCTTACTGGAGACATCATAAGTTATGACACAATCTTGATGTTATGCATATCGAAAAGAATTTTTTCGATAACATCATTAATACGATACTGAATGTTCCCGGAAGATCAAAGGACAATGTCGATTCAAGAAAGGATCTGAAATTAATTTGCTTGCGGAAAGAACTAGAGTTGACATCGGATGGAAAGGCACCCGTCCCGATATTTCGGGTTTCTGGAGAAGCTCAGAGAAACTTCTTCAAATGGTTGAAAGAAGATGTGAAATTTCCAGATGGATATTCTTCAAACATCTCTCGATGTGTCGATATTGAAGGAAATAAATTGATAGGTATGAAAAGTCATGATTGTCACGTCTTCATGCAACGCTTACTTCCTATTGCCTTTGCCGATATACTTCCACTGAATGTACACGAAGCTTTATCAGGTTTGAATTAATTAATTACTGAATCATTTTTATAAATATATCTATTATTTTTTATATTACGGTTATACATAGTTTTTTTTATTTTGATTTATCTTTTAAGAATCGGCATATTCTTCCACGAGTTATGTAGTCGGATGTTACGAGTTGAAGATGTCGAGATCTTGAAGCAAAATATCAGTTTAATCTTGTGCAATCTAGAGAAGATATTTCCACCATCCTTTTTCGATGTCATGGAACATTTACCGATCCACCTACCACGAGAAGCTGAACTAGGGGGACCAGTTCAATTCAGGTATATATTTTTGTTTAATTTTTTAATATACATGAATCAATTAATAATTCATATTTGTATTTGAAATGATTATTTTTCTGTATATTTAGATGGATGTATCCGTTCGAACGGTTCATGTACCATTTGATGAAAAAGGCGAAACAAAAGGCTTTTGTGGAAGGATCAATCGCTGAACAATATATAAATGAGGAGATATCATTCTTCACATCATACTACTTTGAAGATCATATTTTGACAAAGAACACAAGTCAGAATCGGTCATTCCAGTGCGATGATGGACCCTCTTATTCGATGCATGTAGACATACCTCAGATTTACTACAGAAAAGGGCGATGTGGTGGTAAATCGACTGATTCATATCTGTCTGACAGATATTACCATGTCATTTATACCTACGTATTATTGAATTGTGAATATATTCTACCGTTTGAGAGGTTAGTACATTACACAAATTACTGTATAGAGAGAATATACTCTCCTACGTAAAAAATAATATTTTTACTGTATGTGTCAGAGTTTATGATGATGAAGTATATAATACTTATGGTCATCAAATATCTGATGAAGAACTGAGCAGGATTAAAGAGAATGGATTTGCAACATGGTTGAAACAATATGTAAGTTATATTACGACATCTATATTTCATAATATATGTGTACGTATCATTAACCAATAAATTTTTTTTTTTGGCAGATCGAGGTGTCATCCGAAGATCATCCGTTATGGTTATACGAATTAGTGCAAGGTCCACTTCGTCGACTCAAATGTTGGCCGATTTTCTTTACCAGGGGTTATATTTTTCATACATATGAACACGGAGAACATCGTTCAACCCTCAACTACGGAGTACATGTTAAAGGCTCGAACTACTGCGCTTCCAGTGATGAACCAGATTTTTATGGTATTTTACAACAAATTATACAGCTTGAGTATCCAGGACATGTCGGCTTACAAGTAATGATGTTTAGATGTGATTGGTTTGATTCAACACATGGTCGCGGAATCCGCATAAACAAATCAGGCATTGTTGACATCTGTTATACTCGTCGATATGCAAAGTATGATCCATTTATTAGGACATCTCAAGCTGACCAGGTCTGTTTTGTATCATACCCGAAGAAGGTGAAGCGAAGAAATGATGTCGACTGGAGGGCTGTTGTGAAGATCACCCCAAGAGGCACTATATTTAACGATAAATGTTCCTACAACATTCCTCTTCAAGACGAAGATATAAGGGTTGTTGTATGACTTGATGACCCAATCGATATTGAGAGACTAACATTACCGAATGCAGAATTTGAGGAGTTAGAGGTTGGAATCGATGATAATGCCGACAACACCGAAGATTCGAATGAAGAAACGACCGGCACTTCAGAACATGGATCGTTTGAATAATATTTGTATTTTACATTTTTTATTTTTTTTTAATAACAACAAAATACCGACGGAATGTGACGAAAATTTCCGTCGCTATTGGTCTGAGATTCTGACAAATACCGACGGAATTGTCCGTCGCACTTTGCAGAAACGTCAGATCATGCAGAGTTTTTCGGGAAACGCACTATTACGACGAAATGTCCGTCGCTATTGGTCTGAGATTCCGACAAATACCGATTGTCCGTCGCAAGTTGCAGAAACGTCAGATCATGTAGAGTTTTTCGGGAAACGCACTATTACGACGGAATGTCCGTCGCTAAAACTGACGTGTCACCGACGCGTTTAAGGATTCCGACTCAAAGCGACGGGAGTATCCGTCGCTGAGTTAATTTGCTTTATGGTACGACAGAAATTCCGTCGCGACTGGTGATGTGGCATCGACGTGTTTAATGATTCCGACCCATTTCCGACGGATAATTCCATCGCAGAATTAAATAAACAGGCAGAACTCAATCTTTCCCTCAGAATCGCAAAGTTTTCCTTTCTCCGCTCCGGCCAATCTCTCTCACTGCTCTCATCGTCGTGTTCGTCGCCGCTTGACAAATCGTCGTTCCCGTCATCTGTGCGCCTCTCCCAAACAGAATTGTCCGGCGTAAGTTTTTTAGATTTCGTATGTGTTTCGATCTATTTTCGTATTTTTGCAGATTTCCTTTCGCTTAGGTTTCAGATTCTTCTATGTGTTTCGATCTGTTCGGTTTGTGTTTCAATCTGGGTTTGTTTCGTTTCGTTTCGTATGTGTTTCGTTCTGTACGTGTTTCGTTTCGTATGTGTTTCGTAGGGTTTATGATTTTGCTATGTTTAGGGTTTCGTAGGGTTTCGGTTAGGGTTTCGTAGGGTTTATGATTCTGCTATGTTTAGGGTTTCGGCTAGGGTTTGTTGTTCTGTACGGGTTAGGGTTTCGGATCTGTTAGGGTTAGGTTTTCGGATATGTTAGGGTTAGGGTTAGGGTTAGGGTTAGGCTTAGGGTTAGGGTTAGGGTATTTGGGGTTTCGTTTGGGGTTTTGTTTAGGGTTTAGAGTTTTATTATCTATTTGGTACGATATTCTAACGAACTTTGTAGATGAGTCACGAAAGACGTGGTTCGGGTTCTCGTTTTGGTAGTCATAGCGGGAATAGTACTCGATCCCGGGGTCGTGGAGTTGGATCACCAGCGATCCAAAGTCAACGAATCCCTGATCCACTGCAGTTGGATCAACGTTTCACTGGCCAGGGTACTCTCCAGGTTTCATTTGAGGCCGGCGGTTCCGGCCATCGCTCTGTTTATGCTGGGATCTCTCTTAGAGAGATCCTGGCATCAGAGAGTCGACGACAACAACCTTGTATCAATCCTGATTCGGTTGATGGAGCGTTGTGGTAAGTATATTCTAACACCACTTTCGTTTACGATTAAAATCAACCGTTGTTCAACTTAATTAATGTTTTTGAATATCATAGGTTTGATCGGAATGATCAGTTGGTTGAGAGTATCAAAACGATCTACCGTTCTGATTATCATGGCCCATGGCGTAGCATCTCTCGGGTCCCGCAAGATGTCTTGGCACGATGGTTTGCTGCTTTTGCGGTATTGTCTTAACTTGTTCGTTTTTTGTTTAATATATCTTTTTTAGTATTAAATAACTAACACATATTGTTTAAAGCAATCTTATTACTGGGATCCTTCTGTGCATGATGTCGTCCATCGTGCGTGGAAGGATTGTCTCGGTGCGAGATTGCGAGATAGCCTTTATAGGTTGAAATTCTTGCGGAAGAAGCCGGACTGGATTAGTTTAGACGTCTGGGCGCAGCTGGAGGTAATATGGGATTCAAAGGAATCTCAAGAGAAGAGTCGGATCGCGTCGACGAATCGAAAGGCGAGGTCTGCTTCCGACCGTGCCCTAGGAACTCACACTACGGGGAGAAGATCGTTTGCTAAAGTTGCTCTCAATATTGTAAGTATTTTGTGAGAATTGATTTAATTTTTTTTAATTTTACTAATATTTTTGTATAACATTTTTAGGCCGAGAAAGAAGGCGTTCATCCGTCTGCTCTGCGTGTCTTACAAGACACGCATCGTTGATCGGATGGGACGTACGTAGATCATCGTGCCCAAGAAATTGAAGAAGCCATTCAATCGAAGATTACCGATCGAATGACGATGGACAAGAGCAGCGGTTCAACGCAATTGACTTCACAGGAAATCAACAGCTTGTATCTCGAGGTAATTTTTGTATTTAAAATAATATAATATGTTAGAGTTTAAATATTATTTACATATTGTTTTGAAGGCGTTCCTCCCGATGCGAAAGGTCGGATTTACGGGATTGGTGCGTTGGCGAGTCAGCTCGGGGGTGGTGACGCATCTTCGTCGTCTGTGGTACGTCATATATCTCTGACGCGTGAAGTCGAGGAGCTGAAGAGAAAACACGAGGAGACTTCTGCGGAACTTGTAGCTGCTCGGGAGAAGATTGCTCAGTTTGATGCAGCTCAGGCGAAGATCGCTCGGTTAGAGGAGATGATGCAACGTTTTATGCCTCCGACCGATTCCGCCGGTTCGTCTGCTCTGAGTTCCGCCGTCAATCCCGGTCCATCGGTTCATCAAGACGAGCAACATCCCCAAAATCTCGATGATTTTCCGGACAATTTATTTCGTTAGATTTCAATTTTGTAATATATAAAACAATTTCGGTTTTTTATAATA